GGCGGTGCGCACCCCCCAGTATGTTTTTTTTTTTTTTTCGATTTTTTTTTTGTTTTGTTTTGTTTTTGTTTGGAAAGCCGGGGCCGGGGCTGCCGACCCCCGACCCCCGGGACCCCCGCCGGGGCCCCGGGTCCGGGGGTCGACAACCCTGCCCGCAGGTGAAGAGAAGATTGGAACGGTGGATAGATTACAATTGGTTGAATCGTCATGTGGACATTGGTCCTATGCCATATTAATGGGCACGTACATACATATTTGTACATGGGCACGCTACGGCGGATAGGAGGAATAAGATGGATATAGACAATCAAAACGAAAAGAATATACCTCAAAACATCCATATATAAATGTAATTATATGAAGAAGAGTAATATAGTGTCAAATAGAAAAAGAAAAAAAAAACATGAAAAACAAAGAAGACGTAGTGCAACACATAGAACGCAGTGGAAATGCGAAGCACAAAATATCAAAGAAAATAAGGAGTCGGTTCATTTTATTTTAATTTTAGCTCGTCTATCGAGGTTAATTAATGTTAATTCATATCAGAATTTCTTTGTTCGTGCAAATGCAGATGTATAGGTTCACTTTCATGTTCGTGCAAACGTATAATCGAGACCAGAACGTTTTTGGATTCTTATTCAGGTTAATTAAGACGCCTCCTATTTTGTTGCTATGCCTCATTCGGTTCTTATGTTCGATTTGGGATCCTATACGCCCCTTAGTCTTTTAAGGGCCCCATGCGATAGAGTCATACGTACCTCGTTTGTCCACGTTTGCCCTTTGTCATTCTCTGGCAGGGCTCACTTTCCTATTCCGATAAATTTGTCGCTGGGATCATAACTTCTTTTGGCTTCAATCCACATTAATCGAGGCGGCTCCTATTTGCGGTCAGCCTTAGGCATCATAAGTCAGTCATCCGTCCACAAAAGATTAAAAGAAGGTAAAATGTTTTCGTCGACCTTTTCGAACCCTGATTGCTAGGAAGTAGTCACTAGTACTCATTCTCCTTGCCTGAGTATGAGGCCCAGATCTCAGAAGTAGGCGTTGGCTCCACCACAACAACATTGCACCACCCTCATAAATGAGTCTATGCCGCACCTTTCCCCAACCAACCTCGAAGGTCGTGGATTCGGGAAGAGTCATTCCTAGCGATCGAGATCGGAAAAAACCGTTGATGACGTCACATTTCTTCTCCTCTTTTGCTTGGACGACTTTGATGAGATAGGAGCAAAGAGAGTAGATAACATGACTTTTTGGAACGGGTCTATGCGAGAGGAGGTCTTTCAGGATAGCACGGGTGCCTTGGGAAAAAGGTTACCTTTATTGCCAACTTTATTCGTTCTTATCGGATTCGTTTCTTCTCCAATATTCATTCGAAATACATAGTGTGACCCCCCTTCCCAATAACACTTAATTTGCTTCACATAAGCGCCTGACTATTTTCTGCGCCCCATGTAGACCAATCATACGTACCTTTATTATCTCAAGCATATTTTGCTTTCCTTTGATATTGTTTACTGAAAAACGGTCTAAGTTTATTGTTGTTTTTTAATTTACTATCGAAAGTTTTCCTTTCTAATTATTCATAAAGTTTACATTATAACAACATAGAACATTTATGCCTACATTGTTTTGGTTTCAAACTTTTTATTCATCTCAACCACTTTTGAATATTATCTCATGTCTATATTTAAAGGGATACTTACCTGGTTATTTTTCAAGAATAAGCAGAACAGTATAAGAATAAACAGAGAAAACCATAAAATATTGAAAAATAGAATTTAACAAATGTTAGTAACTAAGGATTAATATCATCTCAATAACCATGAATACGTAGAACATGAGATCGCATACCAACAAACGACTAAGGCAACTCTTGTTTGTATACATCAAAACTATTTTCTTCCAATTTCATGAATAGTTGTCAAAAAAAGAAATGCCTCCCCACCAACCCCCCCCCCTCAAAAAAAAAAAAGGAAGAGAGAGAGAGAGACGACTTCAAWAAGAGAGAGAGAGAGAGAGAGAGAGAGAGAGACGGAGATAGAGACGACTTAAATAAGAGAGAAAAAGACAACTTAAATGTGTGTATGTGTGTGAGAGAGAGATACGACTTAACTTAAGTAAGAGAGAGAGAGAGAGAGAGA